CACAGCTGTTATGGAATACAATTTTGATAGCCCAAAATAGTTGACTTAATGGGATAAAAATATATTCAGACTCGAGCAAGTAAAACGTAAAACATATTCTTACAAATAACTTACAAGTTACATATAACCAGTGTTATGTTTATCATGTAAACCAAAACGCTATTAATTGTGGATATATATCTGTACTTTGTAAATTTGACATGACCAAAATTTTAGATGAGAAAATTACTTCTAAAAGTAAAAGTATACAGCTTTTCCGAACGATTTCGTATATTAACTTTTGTTCCTTCAGTTTTTATACTATAGTAGTATCATTTTTACTCCCCTTTATTTATTGTTCTTTTCAATTTATATCGTTTCTTTAGTATAAATTATAAAAGATTGAAAACCCATCACAAACCTCCGACCAGTTGATCACCAATAGAAACAACAAAATTCAGTATGATCTAATTTTTAGAGAAAATTTACGAATATTGTGGAAACAACTTGTATAGATACCTGACTTATGCCAGTATTATTTTTTCTTGATTTATAGCGGTATAACATACATTATTCACATTTTAGCCAAAAATTAAAAAACTTTATTGATAAACATAATATTCAAATTTCGATATTGACAGGCTTGCCCTCGTCCTTTGCCTATAAATTTGACATGATCTACATTTATTCATTCAAACAAAAGCCAAACCAGGCCAGAAAGAAAATAAATACACACAATGACCAAAGAAGTTTGCTCCAACATTGGACTTTGGTTATTGTTCACGTTACTTATTGGTAACTATGTCGTCAATCTTGAAGCCTCGCACCATGTTTACAAGAGACTAACCCAAAGCACTAACATCAAATCTCCTTCCGTAAACCAGCCCTACCGGACAGGTTTCCATTTTCAACCTCCAAAAAATTGGATGAACGGTATGATCACTAAAATGCCATATCAACTCCTCAATCTCAATGATAGAATATTGTTTTCATTTCTTTCTAACCTTTGCTTTTTCTTTCTTTCGTTTTGGTTGTGCTTGGACCAAATGGATTGATCATTGTCATGAGCAGATCCAAATGGTTAGTTTTTTCTCTGTTATTTCTCCTATCCTTTTTTGTAACTTTTAGTCAACTCTTCATATCCAATAGACAGATCATTTTCCCCTAGAAACTCGTGTTTTTATTATTTAAAAAAAAAACATTAATTACTTACACCAATATGTTGTCAGCATATCAACTGTACATTTGATTATTCTAATGTATTGGTCGACCTTGTGTTACGCTGCACGATCCTTTTACACTACCCATATAGTTAACTAATAAAAATACACATATATTGAAATTTTTTATACAGGGCCTATGATATACAAAGGAATATATCATCTTTTCTACCAATGGAACCCGAAAGGAGCTGTGTGGGGTAACATCGTGTGGGCTCATTCCACGTCAACAGACTTAATCAACTGGTACCCACATCCACCAGCTATCTTCCCATCTGCACCATTCGATATCAACGGATGCTGGTCCGGTTCGGCTACAATTCTCCCTAATGGCAAACCGGTTATTCTATATACCGGAATCGACCCTAAGAACCAACAGGTCCAAAACATAGCGGAGCCTAAGAATCTCTCTGATCCTTATCTCCGAGAATGGAAAAAATCGCCGTTAAATCCTCTGATGGCTCCTGACGCCGTTAACGGAATCAACGCCAGCTCGTTCCGTGACCCAACCACCGCGTGGCTAGGCCAAGACAAGAAGTGGAGAGTGATTATCGGAAGCAAGATTCACCGTCGGGGACTAGCGATTACTTACACAAGTAAAGACTTTCTAAAATGGGAAAAATCTCCAGAGCCGTTGCATTACGACGACGGAAGTGGAATGTGGGAATGTCCTGATTTTTTCCCGGTGACGAGATTTGGTTCTAACGGCGTGGAAACGTCTTCGTTTGGTGGACCTAATGAGATTTTAAAGCACGTGTTGAAAGTAAGCTTGGACGATACGAAACATGATTATTACACGATTGGTACGTACGACCGGGTTAAAGATAAATTCGTACCGGACAATGGGTTTAAGATGGACAGTACGGCTCCAAGATACGATTACGGGAAGTATTACGCGTCGAAAACGTTTTATGACTCTGGCAAGAACCGGAGAATCTTGTGGGGTTGGACTAACGAGTCATCGTCTGTTGAGGATGATGTTGAGAAAGGCTGGTCCGGTATTCAGGTAATTCTTTACACTAAATTGAAATTAATGTGAATATAATTTGGTTCGAGATTGAATCAAATTTTTTGTTTCTTTCTTGATTAGACGATTCCGAGGAAAATATGGCTTGATCGATCAGGGAAACAATTAATTCAGTGGCCGGTTAGGGAAGTTGAAAGATTACGTACGAAACAAGTCAAAAACTTACGCAACAAAGTTCTAAAGTCAGGATCTAGGCTTGAAGTCTATGGTGTGACAGCTGCACAGGTTTGATTATTCTATTTTTTTTTAAAGAACAATTGGTATGAGAAAATTAGGTTTTGAAAGTCTTGTGATTTGTACAGGCGGATGTGGAAGTTTTATTCAAAGTAAGAGACTTGGAGAAAGCGGATGTTATAAAACCAAGTTGGACTGATCCGCAGTTGATTTGTAGCCAGATGAATGTATCGGTTAAGTCTGGTTTAGGTCCATTCGGTTTAATGGTTTTGGCATCTAAGAATTTGGAAGAGTACACATCTGTTTATTTTAGAATCTTCAAAGCTCGTCAAAACAGCGATAAGTATGTTGTGGTCATGTGCAGTGACCAAAGCAGGTACGTTTCTTTGATTAAGATCCCGATTAATTAAGTACATTAATTTAGCTAATCTTTTGTCACAAAGATAGATCTAAAATTGGGTTCCCTTGAAAATAAATAATAAAGAAATATCCAAAACTTGACTTTTAATTTTGAGGACTTTTTGGTGATGTGGATTTGGGACAGATCTTCACTGGAGGAAGATAATGACAAAACGACATACGGAGCTTTTGTGGATATTAATCCTCACCAACCACTATCCCTCAGATCCTTGGTAATTAATTAAGTCTTCATTTTACACATATATAGTTCCATAAATATATTTATATATGTGTTCAATGTTAAAAAGGCATTCAAATGTAGGAGAAAAAAACTACTTTTTGGGAATATTCTTTTTAAAACCCATGAGAGTAATTACTTAACAGCTTAGCCTCTTGATCAATATATAATCTTTAACTATATTGTTCAAGTAATTTACTGTGGATTTTTTTATTTTATTTTTAATTAAATATATAAATATAATACTGTGGATTTTGTTAATAAAGTTTCTGTTATTTGTCGTTGTTGGTGTAGATTGATCATTCTGTAGTGGAGAGTTTTGGTGGAAAGGGGAGAGCATGCATTACCTCAAGAGTGTATCCAAAATTGGCAATAGGAAAAAGTTCACATCTCTTTGCTTTTAATTATGGATATCAAAGTGTTGATCTCTTAAACCTAAATGCTTGGAGCATGAACTCTGCTCAAATCACTTGATCAAGTAACGGGGAGATAGATACACACATGTAAACACGTACATTATATCTCCATTGATTTAGCATTTCTATGAGTTGATTTTGGAGAGATCTTATATGGTCCACTTTGTTTGGTTGTCAAAAAAATGGTCCAATTTGTTTGTTTGAATTAATTCTAAAAGGCTATATATATGACATTTTATTTGACTTCTTATAGTATGATTTACTATTAAAATTACAATTCTGTAGTCGGTAGTCAAAATCGTCCAAGTTCCAACGAACGTGATAATAGTGGGCTTTCTGTGAATATACACGTAAACATGAACATGTATACATATACATACTATAATCAAACAAACTGAATTTGATTTTAACGGTTTGGCCCCAAAAAAATAAATAATACTTGTATGTGATCATTCTATATAAATCAGCACATGTTATTTTTTCTGATAAGCCCGACGGCTATATAACCACGGGTATTAAATTGTCCAATATGCTCCTTCCGTTTTCGAATAGTTGTCGTTTTAGAACTTTTTTTTTGTTTTAAATTAGTTGTCGTTTTAAGGCGTTGGGTTTACATTGTTTTCATCTAAACGGCCCACCGTTTTAGCCTTTAAGACCAACAACTTCACGTCAACGAAAATCTGGTCAACTAATTAAAGCGATCAAACCATCTCCACCGTCCGATACTAATACAACTTCGTCATGTCCCGCCCAAGGGCAAGCCCGTAATTCTGTTCACCGGCAACGATGGGAGTGGCATGTGGGACAGAACATTGCATGGTAGTGTTTTTCCAACAGGTAAGGCTAAATCGCTGTCGTTTAGTAAACATCTGGCTCTAGATTTAGAATACGTGCGTGAGATGTAGCCAGAGGAAGTTATCGGTCGAATCCGGATTGTGTCCACTTTGGTGTGTAATGATTCTCGCCTGCACATCTATCTCTTTCGAAATTTAATGCTCAAGCAATAGTGATGATTTGGATATGTGAACTATGCAGCGACCAAATCAGGTGCATTTTCATTTCATTTTATCAGAACTCAGAAGTTGAAATTGTACTCTTCAAATTCATTAACCAAAAAAAAAAAAACTTCTCAAATTCAAATTAATCAAAATTTATGTTTCTGCTAATAATCTATGCCTATTAGACTTCGATAGAGATGAGTAAGAATTTTTTCAGTACTATAGTTTTATTATTTCGGGGATATAATTCGTTAGTAATCAGATAATCGGAAACTTTGTAGTATTTTCTCTTATCTTTTATTTTTCCTCTCAAAAAAAATTATTTGAATAATTAATTAAGGTGACCTAACCATCTGTGATATGAAAGCTATATATTAACGATGTCAATTAAGTTTCATCTATTTTTCAAAAACATGTCCTCAAGAATTTGTTAAGTTCTTAGTTTCACATTCATGCAATTTACAATATATATCTACACACCCGTGTGTCTCTTCACATATATATACATTGATGAAATGGTTAAATATCTAGTTGTTATAATATGGATTTTGGAAAGCACATGCACAGCATATAAGAGTGTGATTACCCATCACGGAAAAATCCCATCAAAATGATTAGGAGAATGAGATAATCATAGGATAAATCTTAGTGGAGCGATCTCACTACTTTTGAGGACATTTTGATTTTGTCTTTCTAAATTAAGTTCCAAGATAGAGAGTTCAAGAAGAATCACGTGTCAATCTACTAGTAGGTATAGTCCTATTCAATTTCAAATTGACTTCTCAATCTATATATTTTTCCTGTTATAGATTGAGCATTTCAATAGTGGAGAGCTATATATGGTGGGGGAGGCAAAGCATGCATTAACATCAAAAACTGTATCCAAAGCTGGAGATATAGAAGAAAATGTACATTTTCGTTGCTTTTTAACAGACCAAATCAATAGTGTTGTTTATATTACACCGCATCAATGACAATGATGAGACACTGATGACATTCATAAAGGAGTCATACTATTAGTGGAAAATATTTGCAATTATGAGACAACAAAAGGCTATGAGATTTTGAACATTCCTGACTGTGGGGAATACGTTATTATTTAGCATTGCTTATATATTTAAAATTTGTATTTTCATACATCCAATATCAACCAAAACTGGTGAAACAATCGTTGAGAAATGCAATCATCCCAACTTCATGATGCTAGTTAATTCATGAGTATCTCATATACCTTGACTAATATATATCTTTCCAGAAAATCAAAATTGGATATCAACTAACATAAAAAGGTATTTGGATCGAGATTATCAAATCTAATTTTCACAATATATGGCCGGTCCCCACCACTTCAAGCACGCACCAAGGACTCTCACTGCCTATAAATTTGACATTTTTTCCATAAGTAAAACTCAAACAAAAAAAAAAAAAAAACAAAAAAAAAAAGATTGCAATGGCTACTATAGTTTGGTGTAACATTGCCATTTTCTTGTTGGTCTTGTTCTTTCTTGCTGACAATGCTATTGTTGTTCTTGATGCCTTGCACAACGTCCCCAATAATATCAAGAACCAACCTTACCGAACCGGTTATCATTTCCAGCCTCCCAAAAATTGGATGAACGGTATTGTTATATACCGGACACATTAATTCAGTTTCACTTGGTTATCTATGTTTCATGTCTCTATATACTTTCATTACTTTGTGTACATTATCAAATCGTTTCACTTATTATTATTTTTTGCTTATGTTGGGGGTTTGTCACAATGCTACAAGATCCTAACGGTTAGTTAATATTCTCTTCCTCAATATTATTTTATAAATTAAGTATATATGCATATTGATAAATTTAATCGAATATATATGTTTTATTGTACATAAAATATACACAGGGCCTATGATATACAAAGGAATCTACCATCTATTCTACCAATGGAACCAAAACGGCGCCGTCATGGACGTAAATGAAACCGTATGGGGCCATGCAACGTCAACGGATCTAATCAACTGGATCACACTTTCTCCAGCAATCAAACCATCTCGACCGTCCGATATCAACGGATGCTGGTCAGGCTCCGTCACGATTCTCACCAATGGCAAACCCGTAATTATTTACACCGGTAACGACCGTTATAACCGTCAGGTCCAAAACCTAGCTAAACCTAAAAACCTCACCGATCCATATCTCCGTCACTGGACAAAATCGCCGGAAAATCCCCTTGTGACACCTAACGCCGCCAACCACATCAACTCCACCGCGTTTCGTGATCCAACCACCGCGTGGCTAGGCCGTGACAAGCGTTGGCGTATAACCACTGGAAGCCAAGAAGGTCGCCGTGGATTAGCGATTCTACACACGAGCCGCGATTTCGTACGATGGAAGCAATCTCCGAAGCCTCTTCATTACCACGAAGGTACCGGAATATGGGAGTGCCCTGATTTTTTCCCGGTGTCGAGAACTGATTCACGCGGCCTCGATACGTCGTCGTCTGCTGGGCCGATGATTAAACACGTGCTTAAAGTGAGCTTAACAGATACTTTTCGTGATTACTACACGATTGGTACGTACGATGAAGTGAGAGATGTCTACGTACCGGACAAGGGTTTTGTTCAGGACGAAACGGCTCCGAGATACGATTACGGCAAATTTTACGCGTCGAAGACATTTTACGACTCGGTTAATCAACGGAGGATTTTGTGGGGTTGGGTTAACGAGTCGTCGCCGGAGAAAGATAACATCAAGAAGGGTTGGGCTGGTTTGCAGGTAGTTAAACCGGTTGAGATTTTAACATTTTGCCTCATTAAAACAAATTTAGACACAATTACTTAACCGATTTTGTGGTGATTTAGGCTATTCCTAGGGAAGTATGGCTTGATAAATCAGGCAAGAGATTGGTGCAATGGCCGGTTAAGGAAATAGAGAGGTTACGTACAACGCAAGTCAAGTGGGTAAACAAAGTTTTGAAAGGAGGAGGATCGGTCATAGAGGTTCATGGAGTCACAGCTTCACAAGCAGATGTGGAGGTTTTCTTTAAAGTGAGTGGTTTAGACTTAGAGAAAGCAGATGTGATTGAACCGGGCTGGACCGATCCACAATTGATTTGCAGTGAGAAGAATGCATCGTTTGTTAATTCCGGTTTAGGTCCATTCGGTTTAATGGTTCTTGCTTCCAAGGACATGGAAGAGTATACATCGGTCAATTTCAGAATCTTTAGAGCTCGTGGGAATAATAAGGAGCACCTAGTGGTCATGTGCAGTGACCAAAGCAGATCAAGTTTAGAGAAAGGGAATGATAAAACAACATATGGTGCTTTTATGGATATCTCTCCTTATCAACCAATCTCTCTCAGGACTTTGGTGAGTTATTGCCACTTCTCATAATCACAACCTTGAACAAAAGTGAAGACTAATTTGACCTTTTTTGTTACTAATGAGTTTTTGATTCTTGTGTTTAATTTGTAGATTGATAAATCAATAGTGGAGAGCTTTGGTGGAAAAGGGAAAACATGTATTACCTCAAGAGTTTATCCAAAATTGGCAACAGGAGAAAGAACACATCTCTTTGCTTTTAACAAGGGATCTCAAAATGTTGATATCTTAAGCCTAAGTGCTTGGAGCATGAAGTCTTCTCTTTAAAATCAGTTCTTGAGATATAAGTATTGAGAGAGATTCTTGAAAGTCTTGGTCATGTATCTGTAATAAATAAATTAGAGAAAATGAAGAAGCACTCTTTCAATTTTCAAACTTTGTTGAAAAAACTTTCTCTTCTAGTTAGTCACTCTTCTCATCATTATCATCATCATCATCATCATCATCATCATCATCATAATCGTCTTCATCAACAAGAGCCTCTCCAGTAAACCATGAAACTGCATGAGGGATCAGTTTATCTCGGATTGTCACACTGTAAAACCCAAAAACCAATAGCTAAGGATTAATTTCTTGAACCTCTCGATATCAAAGTATGTGGAACTGTAAGCTTACGCAATGTCATAGTCTTGGTCCATCAGGTTTTGGAGTTCTTCCGTCTGCAATATTTTCGATATATTAAAGCGATATTATTAGCTTCTGAAGAAACCATTGGTGGTTCAGTATCAAAATCAAGAAGAGAAAAGGTAGTCTAACCATAATGGTATCAAAATCATCGTAATCGTCAACTTCATCAATCTCAGGAATCTCAGGCGGCTTGAAGAAATTGAAGAAACTCTCGCAGTTTTCGGTTTTGGTCATGGGGATGTTGTTCACCTTCTTTGGCCCTTTCTTTGCTTTCTTCTTCACAACAACCTTATGAGTCAAACATTTACCTGGACACCATTCTATGTCCGTTCTACACATCACAAATAAGAGACTGAGTTACATACAGATCAGGTAAAACTAGAACCAAGTAAAATGAGGATGACTAATTACCCAATCACTTTCTCAAGAACAGGACCATCTTCATCATTCACATGGTAAGTTTTAGACAGAACCGAGTTCTTGAAGTAAGGATTGGGGTCAAAGAGAAACTCCAGCTTGAAATTTCTTGAATTGTCTTCAACTCTGCAAGATCTGATGTCTTTTAGATACTTCAATGCTCCCTCATCTCTTTCGGTTATCTACATAAACCAAACCAGACTGTTTTTTTTTGTTTCAATCTGTTTTATGCCAAAGAACACACAACTTCCAAAAAAGCAATTGAATCATGTACCTCATTGGCGAGCATTTCGTTGGTTTTCATTGCAATCAACCAGAAATTGGGCACTCCTTCTTTCTCTTCTTCAGCTTCAACCACACCATTCACAATTTCATACCTCTGCAAGTTTTCAGTAGATCTCAGGAATCTATAATCCTAACCCCATATAACATTAAGCCAATTAATAGGAAAGATGAAATATTAAACTTGTTACCTTATCAAAAAGCGGCTTGTAGAGATTATCGTATGTTGCCTCCAATGCAGCTTTCTCCGCAAGAAACTTCTCTTCGAGTTCATCGTGTTTAACCTGAAAATTACACTACATCTACATAACCGAACATTGACGCTCTCTATTAAAGTTTTGAAAGCCCGAAAATTTGACAATACCTGAATGTCCTTGAGGAACAGAACACGTTTGGTGACTTTAGGTGAGAGTTTTTTGACATCAAATGGTCGCTTTAAGGTTAGGTTCTGTATGTTAATCAACACCCAAAAGGATCATAAAACAGAGGAAAACACAAGAAAACTACAATGTGATTTGTTATTAACGATTTGAAATTACTTGCCTTAAGCTCCGCAAGAATATCACAATCCTCTGCCCCAATATCTACAAAGCATAATGGTTAGCTAGCTTCAATTAACCCTATTCCTTGTTGATTCCAAGAGCGAAAAAGTAAAACAGGGCATTTACTTGAGGCAGAAGTAAACGAGAGAGGGTAGATTTTGGTGGGATTACCCAGATATTTAATGTTTTATCGAGGATGAGATGTAAAATTTCGTGAATTTTTTAGGAGAAAGCGAGAGTAGTTTCTGAAATTACCTAAGGCGGGAATGCTAGGGAGATCAGAGGATTCGCCGGTCTTATTATCGGCTTTGATGGATGTGTTGTTTTCTTCGTTGCTCATGTTTTTGATTCTTCGTTTTTTCGTGAGAAAATGGGAATTTTCGAGGGAGAGAAGAAAAGCCAGAAAAATGAGGACGACGGAGAAAGGAAGGAGGAGAAGACTTGGCGGCTTTTTCATTTGTAAAATTCATTCACACGTGCCAGAGGTTAACAACGTGGATCCTTAGTGGGGTACCATGAACTGCCAAATTAACAGCCAAACGAAAACGGCATCGTTTTTAGCAATCAATACGAAGCTGCAATGTTGTAGAGGATTTCACAAGTACCCATACAAATAATATATCATAAGATCAAAAATCTCAGTTCACACACACATTATACTACTATTCAACAAAAGATTGTACTTCTAAAAAACAAGAAGATTAGCTTTGCTTACATTTCAGGTTTAGTCAAGTTTTTAAGGAGATTCAGCTATTATTCCTCGTCTTCGTCTTCATCTTCTTCATCATCATCTACATCTGATTCATCCTCTTCTTCTAAATTGGCTTCTTCATCACTAACAATGAAACCACCCAATGTTTCATCATCATCATCTTCGACATCTACTCTTCCTCGTTGTTTAGTTTGAGCACCGCTACAACTACTACTTGCGTTTGTATCTTTCTTCGTCTTCTTGGATCTAGTTGAGTAAGTTGGAGTCACAACTCTTTTAGACTTCACCATTAACTCTTTATCTTCATCACTTTCCACACTCCAATCGTCATCCTCATTCCCGTTCTTCCTACCTCTCTTTTTGCCTAATCCCTTCCTCACCTTTTTATCTCCATCTTCATCATCATCGCTATTTCCATTCGTGGAATCCTCTAAAAACCATTCCCATTGCTTTATGTCACGCACCCTACTCTTTGGATACTGATCAAATTCCTTCCCAATCACAAGAAATCCAAACTCTGCAACCACACCACACAGTACACAACTACACATTGAGACTCAATTCTTACTGAAAACAAAATCCTATCAAGAGCATAATTCAAGACATTATAAAAGAAAAGCAATGCAGAACAACCAAAATGTTGTTTAATGAGAGACGCATAATCCAGAGACAAGGAGTTGAGAATATGTTCCCCAAAATTCGAACCATTCCCTTGTTAGGAGATAACACATCAAATTAGACGAATTGCAAAATGGATTACCTTTAACAGGATCAATATCCAATTCGATTTCACCAGCCAATGCTCTCTCCTCCATAACTTCATCGCGTCTCTTCAAGGTGAACCAAATTGGGAGATTACCCGATACACAAAATCGATCGCCGGCGGCGATTTCTCCCGTCTCCGATTTCCTCAAAGTTTGAATCTTTTTGCCCGTTTCACCCGGAATTACCCAGACTGGATTCCTCCCGAGAACCTCGAAGGAAACCCTGTCGGACCGTCCGGTTCCGGCGGCGGAGGGTTTGAATTCGAGTGAAACGTGGCTGCGTGACACTGTTAGGTCTTCGGTGTTGAATCCCGCTCCTCTTCCGAATACAGCCTTAACTCTGGCCTTCAGGAAGAGCTTCGTGCCGTCTTTGCCTTCGATTTCCATGCTGCTTTCTTGACTTTCACAGAGACTTTCATTTTAGCGGCATTTTCCTTTTTTTTTTCTTTTCTTTGCCGGCGGCAACAAAACGCATCGTTTCTTCGTTTTTTTTTTAGTTTTCAACATAATTTACCAAGGGCCATTTAGGTGAGTTACCATATACATAAATCAAATTAAGAATATAGCACCTTATTTGAAAAAATGAAGAGACTAACATGAAGGGCTTGGGAAATTACCATTTTAGTGTTTTTTTTTTTTCTTTTAAATTTTTGTTACCCCATCATATTTAAATTGAGCAAATATATTTTTTTTTTAAGATTCCAAATTTCAAATATATCTTAAAAAAATATACATTTTTTTCTGAATGAAACATAGTTTAAATTTTAAAAATTGGATGTAAAATTTTTATAATAGTGAATAGTGTTTGTGGTTAAATACAAGGCATACTATATAGAATCTATATTGAATAGAATGTTGTACTATACCATTTTTCACAAATATACATAAACAAATCCTTAACTTTAAATATTAAACCTAAGAACCTACACTCAAACCAAAAACATATGTATAAAAATGAGCGTTATACCCTAATAAATACAACATATAGCACACGAAATGCTGAATTAAACGCACGACGAATAAAGAACACTATACCCTAAGGGATACAACATAGAGAACCCAAATGACCAAGTTAAATGTACATCAAAGAAAAAAAGTTATACCCCTAATTAATACAACATATGAAACTCAAATTTTCGAGTCAAACTCAAATTTTTTTGAATGTATCATGATTTGAATTTTTAAAAACATGCACAAATTTATGAAAATTAGTTAAAAATAAATTATTTATGTCTAAATAGAATTACATTAAATGAAATTGTATAGACTAAAATGAAATGTAATGCATAAAATATTATTACTCATAAAAACTTATTAATTTTTCCGAAATTTGTGTTAAACAACATCGAAAAATAAACGATATACCCTAACAAATACAACATATAAAATACATAATGCTAAATTAACTGTACCATAATAACCAATGTTATATCCTAAGTGATACAACATAAAGAACCCCAAACGACCAAGTAAACCATACAACGAAGAAAAACGATATACCCTAAACAATACAACATAAAAAAAAAAAAAAACAATTTGTCGAGGTAAACACATGCCGAAGAAATTATATTATAGTTAAAAGATAACGTGATAAATAAGGAACGCTATACCCTAAGGGATACAATTTAGGGAACCCAAACATCCAAGTTAAACGCACATCAAAAGAAAAAACGTTATAACTTAAATAATACAACATAAAAAATCCAATTGGCGGAGTGGAACACAAACCATATAAGGAATATTATAGCTAAAAAATAACTGAAAATTTTCTTGCTAAACGTATATAGATATTATATCGATTTCTAAAATTTCAAATCAGATAGATACATAAAAAAAGTCTAGTTTTTTCCTTTTAAAAATTAAATTAATATTTGTTAATATAAATTTAAGGTAAAGTATATAAAAGATAAAAAGAAAACAATGAAAAAGAGTACATAGAATTTATTTTCCATTAAATTACTATACTATTTCATTTAAAACAAATCTATTGAAAATTAAGTTTCTTATTCTCGTTTTCTTCCTCTATCTATCTCTCTGCACATCATTCTCATCCAATATCTCTTTCAATCTATTGGTTGTTATGTTCTGTTCCTTTCAATCTCACCAAATTTTCATCTTTGCCTTCCAATTTTGATGAATTCTCTTCACCAAACTAAGTTTGTAACCCTAGCTTCTTAAATTATAGAAAAATTCAAATCTGAATGAAACTGGTTTTACTAGACGTGTCTGATTCGGAAATCTGAGAGAGGATATGAGCGATTCACTTAGGAGTATTAGCAGCTTGCCTGGTCCTCTTCGTTCCCATGGCAATGGCGGGTTGGCATCTGAGCAGGAACAAGATGCTCTTCTTTAGTGGCGATGTGTTTACTTCTCTCGCTGTTTGTGTTCATCTCACACCTTATTTCCCTTCCGTTTCCGACATGGTAGCCTCTGTTTCGTCTGTTGTTATCTACTATCATTGTATCTCCTGTATTAACGAAGTGGATCAGATTGTCTGGGGTGTTAAGCCGGTACCGAATCCGGAATTTGTTCATAGGAATAATGGCTCCAAGCTTAATTATTTCGAGAAGAACTGGGATTGGATGAAATAGATGAAGGTTTTGAGTTGTGAGTTTCAGAAATTGGATAAATTTGATGTTTCGGATTTGTGAATTGATCATGGGTGGTTGTTGCTGGGGAATGGGGATTCTCAGGCGAGATTCATGGCTTTGTCGTTGTTGAATCTGGTTTTGGGTTCGGATTTGAAGGCTATGGAATTGGTTAAAGGTGATATGCTAAAGAGACAATGATTTTACACCATTGTGGTTAAGGAGATTGGGATAAAACTAGATTTTGTGTGGGCTCTTTATGAGAAAGAATTAGATGATCTTGCGCATATGTTCTGGATTGGGATGCCAGTTTTGATCAACATGATGTTGAATAGTACTTGAATGCATAAAAAGAAGGAATTGTAAAAGAGATAGGGTATAGAAGAAGTAGGCAACTGTTACTCATGCAACAAGGGTAAACTTGCCAATATTATATGAAATACAAAGAATATTATAGGTTTATGGTTAGAATGGTTACTCACTTAATTTTAAAATTTTTGTTGGTTATAGCCTGCAATTCCCCATTTACGAATACATGACTTGTCAGAAAATAATGAAATTTGTTTTTCATAATTTCCTTATCATAATCATCACCTAACTTTACTTAAAAGAATGATTCGTGACAAAATCTAAAGCTTAAGCTATTTCTTGAGATTAAAGATATATATTTTACACAAACTTAGGCATCCCAACCGATCTCTCTTTGCTTAGACATGAAGCTTTGGTGGTCAAAAAAAAAAAAAAAAAAAAGACAACTTCTGATTCTTTAACCAATAAATCACATTTAATTTGAGTTTAAATGTACAAAATCTTGTCTGAAAATGGGTGGTCTGCATATAAGAGATTGCATTCTTAAATTCCCAAAATATTTTCTATATTCCTAACATAACAAATGTCATAAAAGTAATGGAACTCCTTTTACAGTGTCATATACAATTTCATGTAATGATCAGCTCCTCAGATTAGAGTGGAAACGTCCCTAGTAAAGGAACTCCTTTTAACATTGCTCTCACAACAGACTCTAATTCTAAGGATTGATGTTGCATTCTCTGAGATAAACCTGCTCATAGTCTACATGCTTTGACCAGAAGCTTCGGTATCTTGGAATCCCAATCTCTAGCCATGGTTTGAGGTTACCATTATAGTGTATCACGGCTGCCCTCTCAATATCCCTCTGGTTCACACTCGGGTTGTATCCAAGGCCTAGTATGTGCCATTTCCGGTCTAGCGGATATGTTCGTCTCCAGAATGTGATGAGACCAGGCGGTAACGTCCCTAGCTTCCACAATTCTCGGTCTCGATTCAGATCCTGCCATCGATGATAAACCTCTGTGATGTTTTGCCTCTTCCATTCATCCAGATCAAAGACATTCATACCATATGCCCAACCACAAGCTCGAGGGTCAAAGTTCTTGGAGATGAGTGGATTTGAGAAGTTCAGATAACGGTCAAAGCGATGAAAGCTTTCCCCACAAGTCTCTACAGCACCGTTGACATTACCTTTCAGATCAACTGACCAAAGACCAGAAAGGTCCTTCTGCACAACTATATCATCATCCAAGAAGAGCACTTTGCTGAGCTTCGGAAAGATCTCAGGCAAGTAAAAACGAAGATGATTAAGGATTGATAAGTATTTTGGATTCCGGAACTTCAAGTTTGTGTCTGAATTTGTATGGTGGGCCCTGAAGTAATAATCTATCATCGATCTAGAACTAAGCTGTTTGAGAACGGGACTGTAGCTTGAATTCAGCCATGTAAATTCTTCAACATTCTGAACCTGGATGGTGGCTTTGTCAGGTGGATTGTCCAGGAACCACATCCTCATTGCAGCATAATTGAGTCTGTCAGTGACGATGTGGAAGACATGCTTTGAGGGATGCTGCCAAAAAACCATTAAGACCGTAAGTTTAACAGAAAGAAACACACTTAAATGTTCAAACAAAAGAAGAAAGTAAATTCTTACCTTTGCATTGGTTATGGTAGAGTTAACAACAACTGACGTAGCCAAAACATTATCAGAGAAAAGGGCATAGTGATAGAGCTGAGTATCTTCTAGTTTCTCCTGATTTGGGAATTGTTGTTGAGATGAATTTAAAGCATAATAATCTGTAGTGAGGCGCAGAGGGAGGCAGTGAAGTCCTTTAGGAATGGTCTTAGCAGTCAATTGAGTCAAGAACATGGTTTGCTTCTTATGGACCCGTAGCTGCTCCTCAGCGGAGTGGAGCATTGCACGTAGCTTCTTGACCACAATGGAACAGTCATCTTGGATCTGCTTGCCTTTGGCCAAAGTTTGCTCCATTGCTTTAAGCTTTTCAGTAGCAGTCTTTGGCAGCTCCGAATCCTTGGAGGCATCTGCAAGTGCCCGTTGAACTTCTTTAATACGGAGTCGAAGCTCTCTCACAAAATGTGCATTGGCCTTTGCAGATGGAAGGGAAAGATAAACCTTAGCCCTAATAAGCTGATCTTTAAGGTGCCTCAGTTGAGCATCAGGCATCAACAAGTTTCCTGTATCTTTCTTAGCTCCAAAAGCATTAGGCTCTTGCTCATCAACTTTTTCAGAGGTTTGTTGGGTCAATTGAACATGCATCTTTTCCTACAAGATATATGAGATCAGTTTTTGGCACCCTAAGGATAGTGTTACATTAGCAGCAGCCAAATACCAAGCATAAAGTCAAATCTGGAGGCAATCAACTTATGGAGTAGAAAACGTACCCTATTATGAGTGACTTGTTTGATGGAAATGTCAGTATGAGAGTGAGTATCATCGTCGGTGGCGGAAAGAACTCGAGCAGACAATTGGTCTAGCCGCCGTGAATTCTTTCCTCCTCCTCCTCCTCTGAGCACAGCCGGAGATTCCTAAAGATGCATGTGAAGAAGAAAGTGAAGAAACGAGCTAAGATCTGAGAGAGGCGAATCAAGTAACTGGAAACGAAAAAGGTACCCGAGGAAGCAGATTCAAACGATTCCCATCGGAATTCAAAGTCAAGGCGGTTACGTCCTCGAGGAAATCGCGTTTAGCTACAGAATGAAACAAAGAGGATGGTGATAAGAAGCAAAATCCAAATCGGAATGTGAGAAAGAGAGAAAGAGAGAACTGACAAAAGGGGGTCTTGAAGGAAGCGGCGGGATCGGTGTAGAGAAGGATAGGAGCTGCGACGGTGAGGAGCATCAAGAAAAGAACAAGATTCCGAAGCTTCACCATCATCGTCGTCGTCATCAGATCAAGAGAGAGACGGAGCCATCAATCGTACTGTATCCAGACCAGATAGATCTATTGAGTGAGAGAAAGGTAGTTTCTTTTTCTTGCTTTTTTTTTTTTTTTAATTTTATTTTATTTGTAAGCAATCCCTTAAAACGACATCGTATTTGTTAACACCTTTCGTCATCTTTGTTAAATAAATAAATAAATAAATAAAACACGCATCCTTTTGCTAATTGCTCCGGCAAACTTTCATCTGAAGAAGAAAGAACCTCTGACGAGATTAGACAAAGAAACCAAAGATGAAGAAGACGAAAGGAAGTAGCTTTCGATTCTACGCCACTCTCTTACTCTCTTTTCTCTCTTTCTCCTTATCTCGCGCCTTTTATCTACCAGGAGTCGCTCCTCGTGATTTCCAGAAGGTAACTCTTTTCGTTTTTTTTTTCCCGATCTCTCGTTCTCGATGTGAAGATCGATCTAGGGTTTATGGGTCTGAGTGATATTCTAGTTTGGCATGTGATTTCATTCACATCTGATTGAAATTTTGTGTCTTTTTTTGTTTTTTGTCACCATTTGTGTTGGTCCTGAGCTAGTATTATTGAGTTGGTTGATGAAAATGGGTATAATTAGCAAATCGACGATTTCATTTCGAAGTTCACTCATATATGAATCAATAGATCTGCACTTGAAATTCGTGTGTTTAACATCTTCCTTTGGCTATGTAGCTCTTGATTTTGTTATTTTGTCTTGTTTGGAACAGGGTGATCCTCTTTATGTTAAAGTGAACAAATTGTCGTCCACAAAGACTCAACTTCCTTATGACTACTACTACCTCAATTACTGTAAGCCTCCTAAGATCTTGAACAATGCTGAAAATTTAGGGGAGGTTCTCAGAGGAGACCGCATTGAGAATTCCGTTTATACGGTAAGCAATACCCCAATTCTTCTACTTACCTTGACATCATCACCATGAGATGTTGACTTTTCTGAAACAAAATATTTCAGTTTCAAATGCTTGAAGATCAGCCCTGCAAAGTAGGTTGCCGTGTTAAACTTGATGCTGACTCCACCAAAAATTTCAAGGAAAAGATTGATGATGAATACCGGGCTAATATGTAAGTATTAAATATAGCATGCTTGTTCTTTGTATTTGTGTTCTTTGTATCTTAACGCGAATTGCTGTATAGGATTCTTGATAATCTTCCAGTAGCTGTTCTTAGACAAAGGAGAGATGGAAGTCAATCAACGACTTATGAACACGGTTTTCGTGTTGGCTTTAAAGGGAGTTATGAAGGGGTATGTCTCTAAAATCTAGTGCTTTAGTCTTGCATTCTTTTTACCTTTTATCACACCAACCAATAGTTGGTTGGCTTTCGTAGAGCAAAGAGGAGAAATACTTTATACATAATCACTTGAGCTTCCGAGTCATGTACCACAGAGACCAAGAGTCTGATTCTGCTCGAATTGTTGGATTTGAGGTTACGCCTAACAGGTAGTTTACTTACTGGAATTTTTAGGAATACTTGTCGATTAGTATAAAGCTAACAGGTCTTTATCTTTTGGATAGTATCTTGCATGAATACAAGGAGTGGGATGAAAAAAATCCTCAGTTAACAACATGTAATAAGGACACAAAAAATCTAATCCAAGGCAACACTGTCCCTCAAGAAGTTGAGCAAGGAAAAGAAATAGTGTTTACATATGATGTCTCGTTTAAGGTACATGATTTACACTTGGCCTTCTTTTGCTTTACTTTTTGGCTTGCTAAACATTTTCCGGACTGTGAATATCCAGGAAAGTGAAATCAAATGGGCTTCTCGGTGGGACACGTACCTTTCTCATGAACGATGATCAAATCCACTGGTTTTCCATCATAAATTCACTTATGATTGTCCTTTTCCTGTCTGGAATGGTAGCCATGATCATGATGAGAACTCTATACAAGGATATCTCAAACTACAATCAGCTCGAGACCCAAGATGAGGCCCAGGAAGAGACTGGATGGAAGCTTGTACACGGAGATGTCTTCAGGCCACCGGTGAACTCTGGATTATTGTGTGTTTATGTTGGTACAGGTGTCCAGATCTTCGGGATGTCACTGGTTACAATGATGTTTGCGTTGCTTGGCTTCTTATCTCCATCCAACAGAGGAGGGCTTATGACTGCCATGGTTCTCTTGTGGGTTTTCATGGGAATATTCGCTGGTTACTCCTCGTCTCGCCTTCACAAAATGTTCAAAGGAAACAAGTGGAAGAGAATGACCTTGAAGACTGCATTCATGTTTCCGGGTATCCTTTTCGCTATCTTCTTTGTTCTGAATGCGCTCATTTGGGGAGAGCAGTCATCTGGAGCCATACCATTTGGTACAATGTTTGCTCTCTTCTGCCTCTGGTTTGGCATCTCAGTCCCACTAGTCTTCGTTGGTAGCTATCTGGGTTACAAGAAGCCAGCAATTGAAGATCCAGTCAAAACAAACAAGATCCCGAGACAAGTACCAGAGCAGGCGTGGTACATGAAACCAGTTTTCTCCATACTAATTGGAGGCATCCTCCCGTTTGGAGCAGTCTTCATCGAACTCTTCTTCATCCTGACATCAATATGGCTGAACCAGTTCTACTACATCTTCGGGTTCCTCTTTATAGTGTTCTTGATCTTGATTGTCACCTGTGCAGAGATTACAGTGGTGCTCTGTTATTTCCAGCTTTGTAGCGAAGACTACAACTGGTGGTGGAGAGCTTACTTAACTGCGGGCTCATCCGCTTTCTACCTCTTCCTCTACTCAATCTTCTACTTCTTCACAAAGCTGGAGATCACAAAGCTAGTATCGGGAATGCTCTACTTCGGGTACATGATCATCATCTCTTACGCGTTCTTCGTCCTAACTGGCACTATTGGTTTCTATGCTTGCTTCTGGTTCGTGAGAAAGATCTACTCCTCGGTGAAGATTGACTAGAACCCAAGTGATAGAAGATGCCAACTTTTGAGTCTTTGAGGTTTTGTATGTTTGGGTAATTGTATGGTACGTAGCTGTAACAAAGTAAAAGAATCAAATCAACCTTAATTTGTACCGTTTCTCTTCAACACATGCATTTCCACAGATATTGGCTGAATCAATATTACATGCCTTTTTGCTATGTTCACCAGTAATCTCCGCACGAACATATTCCTTTGACAATTTGATGGAACCTGTTTTTATCCCTTAATGACACTTCCCTTTCAAAAACCTTTGAGAAGATCTTGGCAAAGTTATGACAATCAACACATATACGTAGATTCTTGAAAACTCTAATTGGAATCCCTTCACCAGTAGTAATCAACCCAAAAGTCAAGGCTAGTTTCTCACTGTGGCCAAGTAGCATCTTCTCCTTCTGCTCTTCATCCACATCATATAGCACACAGCTAATATCAGGAACATAACCAGCTTGCTTCATTTTTATCGATATTTCTTTCATTTTAGCTAACACTTCTTCCCTTCTTGGATGGGTACGATCATTGGCGTGGAAGTAATGCAAGGTTTGCTCGTGTTGAATCCAGCTTCTTCCTGGTTCTTTTGTAACAGCTTTCTGCATCATCATAGCTCTTACATTGTTTACATCTTCCCATCTTCCTGCAGAAGCATACAAATTAGAGAGAATGACGTAGTTCCCTGCATTCTCTGGTTCAATCTCAATGAGTCTATGCCCTACATATTCGCCAATATCTACAGATAAGTGAACCCTACAAGCTCCTAAAAGGGAACCCAAGACACCAGCAGTTGGTTTAGATGGCATTCTTTTGATGAATTCAAATGCCTCATCAATCCTACCCGCACGGCCAAGCATATCAACGATGCAACCATAATGCTCAGTGTCAGGCTTTATCCCGTATTCTCCCGCTACCATGCCATCATATATACTTAGCCCTGTGTCTTCCATCTTTCCATGGCTGCAACCAGACAAGACAGCCAAAAGGGTTACTGCATCAGGCTTTACTCTCTTCTCATCTCTCATCAATCTGAACAGCTCAAGAACTTCTCTTCCTAAACCATGTTTACTATATCCCACAAGCATCGCGTTCCATGAAATCGCTGTCCTTTCAGGCATGTTATCAAAAAGCCTTTGAGCGTAAGAGAGATTCCCACATTTTGAGTACATATCAATAAGAGAATTCTGAAGGACCGCATAGAACGGAAGTTCACGTCTCAAGACATGGCAATGAGCTTGCTTGCCATGATCTAACAAAGCAAGTCCAGATAATGCTGTTAAAAGACTAGCGTAGGTAACATAATTGGGACGCATTCCTTCACTCTGCAGTCTCTGAAACATCTCTAATGCTTCTTCATCAAGACCTAACTGGGCATATCCAGCAATAATAGCAGTACATGAAACAACATCTCTCTCAGGCAAGCACTCGAAAATCTCGCGAGCTTCTTCAATTTGACCAGCTTTGGCATACATGTCAAGAAGAGAGCTCCCAACAAAAATGTGAGAATCGTAATTCCACTTAACTATGAGTCCATGGATTTGTTTACCAAGAGCTAATCCAGAAGCACGTATACAAGAAGTAAGAACAGTAGCGAAAGTGAACTCATTTGGTTTCCCATCTGATCTCATCATCTCTGCAAAAACAGAGAGAGCCTCAGAAGAATGCCCAGTTTGAGAATAACGCGAGATCATAGCAGTCCAGGAAACGACATTCTTCTCAGGCATTTCGTCGAGCACTTTCCGTGCATCCTCCAAACAATCACATTTACCATAGAAGATAAGCAGACGAGTTCGAAGATAAGTAGCTGGAAGATAACGGGTTTTGATCATGTGGGCATGAACTCTCTGACCTTCTCTAAGAGCCCTTTTGTCTAAACACGCATTCAACAAAGCATCGTAACAATGGAACCCAATCTCCGGACCTAACATCACCATCTCTAGTAAAGCTTCTTGAAGACGACCGTTGGAACATAGTTGAGAGATTGGACGGAAGGTTTGAAGAACAGAGTTAGGAGACGACGAGAAGGATCGATGAATTAGTCTCATCAAGTTAAACATTTGACGAACTAGGTTTTGGTTGCATTAGTGGTTGTTGACGATCTCAAATCCAAATGGTAGAATGAATAAAGCTCAATATTTGGAGAT